ATATATATTATTATTATTATTATTATTATTATTATTATTATATTTTAACCAATTATAAAAATGAAATTCTCAAACACTCTCTTTTCAGCCCAATCAACTGTGAATATTTATCCATAGCAAATATCAAAATTTCACAAGACAAAAGGCCTTTAGAAGTGAATATAGGCATGTATGTACAAAAATGTTAATGGGTGGTCATGGGGATGCGATTCCCAAAAAAATTAAGATGTCTTATCAACAAATAGACAGATCGAAATAACTCATTTAGAGGGAGAAAAAAAAAGAAAATTGTTACCTGGACTTTTATAAGTGAAAATGGTAAAGGGGCTTATAAATGAAAAAAAAATAAAAAATAAAATAAATGCGTGAGCAGGGGTAGCGGAGGATTGAAAAGTTGTGAAAATTTGTATCATTGGGATTTCTAGCGAAAATTGACGTCAAACAAAAAAATATCCATTTCAAAATTTGTAGATCATGCAAAAATCTACAACTTTTGTAGAGGTTACTTTTTAACATAACCTCAAAATTTCCAAGAGAAATGTGAGAAACGGATATTTTTCTGATTTTTCATTTTTTATTTCTCATTTCTGCAAAAATAATTTAATTTTGACAAAACTTGGTGAAAGTATACCTTTCTGTGTCTTAAATAACTAAAATTTTTTTTTTAGATAAAAAAATCAACAAGTTTCCGAGATATTCATTTTTTCCAGTCTGAAACAATTTTTTTTCAAAGAAAAATTATACTTAGAAAAGTCATTGTACAGAGTTCTGCCGCTGATCATTTTTTCGTTTTGACACACTTATTGGTGAAATAAAAAATCTGTAATCACAGTTCAAAAACATGCTCAAAAATGCAAAAAATAAAATAAAAAATGACTTGCAACAATGAATTTTTCAGTAATTGTTGATAATTTGTTTAAATGAAAAAAAAATTTTAAAACTGATTACACCATTCAATTGTACGGAAAAAAATACAAAAAAATTGTCTCATTGTTTGACCCAAAACTTTATTTTTCTACAGTATTGCTATAAACATCTGAGTGAATAAATAAAATAAATAATATTTTTTTTTCCCTAGGATCGATTAGTTAATTACTTATTTTTTTTAATTTTGATAAATTATGCATTTATTTTTTTTTTATTTATTTTTTTTTTTTAGGTTTATTATAAGCCCCTTTACCATTTCCACTTATAAAAGTCCAGGTAACAATTTTTTTTTCTCCAAGTGTAATTTGGTTGGACTACAAAGATGTATGTCTGGTTCGAACAATTTTGAATTTATGAAAATATTTTTTCATGAAACATACAACTTGAACATCTCGTATCTACGAAAAATTACAGTTTTTGACTAATTGCATGCAAAGTTTTCAAGATAAAAACTGTTACACCTTGCATAGTGATTGTACAAGAACAATATTTGAATATTTTACAAACATTTAGCAAAGCAATGCTTAATTTATCAAAATTCAATGAATGTTCGAAGCGAATTAATTAATGGGACTTACCTCTGCCTTCATCGTACACCACCTCCATAAAATCGCCCTTTGCCGAGAACGCTTGTATCCTTGAATCTGCAACTATTATTTCCCCTAAGGGCCCTACAGTGACAGATGAAATGAGACTAAATGTTCCTTTTTTACCAACCTAAAAAGGTTAAAATTACGGAAATAAATTATTACGATTCAGAAGAATTACAAGTTAACAAATTATTCTAGATCCTAACCTGAAAAAGGATTTTGCCTTCCGCATCGAACACAAACACGCAACTCATACCGTTATCTGCAACCAAAACGTGCCCATAGCTCTTATCCACAGCCACGTCTATGGGCTCTTGGAATGCATTGTAAGTGAAGTATTTGATAGTTTCTCCGTCTGTCGTCATCTCGGTGATGTATTTACTTCTCCAATTTACCACGACTAGACCCTCGTTGGATATTGCAATACCTAACAACATAAATGACTACTAATAATGGCAATTTTATTTTCTTTACTTATTATTGGTATATTGAAAAAATTAAATTCATTTTCAAAACTTAAAAATTTGGGTCATATGGTATCACTGGCCTTGCCTGAAGCAATAAATGAAATAAAAGACATCAAAAAGTTCTAGTGGGCTGTCAGTTTAATTCTTGTCAATTATTAACAAGTTTTTTTTTTCCTTCCGAATGGAATGGACTTAAACTCCGCCCCTTTGGGGCAGCCAACATGATTTCTCATGAGCTCCTGTTTAAAACAATTAATTTAATAGTCCAATCAATAGGTAGAAAGCTTACAAAAATATCACCAAATATGGTGATATAAGAAAAAAATTCTAGAAAGGTAGTGTTTCCTGTGGCGCATAAATGGCGAAGTTAATCTAAAAAATTCATAAAAGTAAAAAAGCGGTTTTGTGCTAACAAAAAAAAATTTGAACTTCAATTGAAAAAAGTTAAATGAGAAAGTTGTACCTATTAAAAAAACCTATCGATTCATATTTTTAAATATATCGATTGCTATATTACTTTTTAATATATTGAAGAAACCATCAAAAATCGACTGTTTTTGCTGTATCTCTTGCAAATTGCTGTAAATGTAGCCTTTGGCAAGTAAAAAAGTACCTTTCTTTAAAATTAAAAAAATATTAAAAAATTTTCGAAAAAAAGGTCATCTCAAAAATCGATTTTTCTTGCTCGACGAATAGTCGTAGAGAAACGAATCAGGGCTCATTTTTTCCTTAAGAGTTGTACTTTCATGACAAAAAAGAGTGATAACGATTTTATTAATTTCAAATGTCCAAAGAAAATTATTTTGAAAAAAGTAAAAATTTTTGGTCGGGTTATTCTTGAATATCTCTTCGATTTTCATTTCTCGATAATGTCTATTACAGGAATCGAAAATGAAGTTGATTGAGTGGATAATATAGGAAACGAAACCATGGAAGAAGAAAATAAATCACAATTGAGGTAATTGAAGAGAAGAAGAATTGAAACGTAAAAGTGATATACTTACATAAGCTGTGAAAATAAAACATGTAATCGACGAATATTTTTATACCACGTAATTTTCTGTATGATAACTAAATAAATATTTTGTAATACTTTTATAACAAAAAGATATAATTACCATAAAAAGTTGTACTTACTTTATTTCATAAACAATTATTGAAATGTTAACAAGAGGTGAGAGAATTTTAGACTAAAGGAAATTACATTTTTCAAAGGTAATTATGCTTTTGAGCCGTCGTAAATGTCATATATTGTTTTATCTCGTCGAGCTACTCCAAATTAAGTACAAAGGCATTTTTGTATGTGATCCAGAAGACGAGATAATGAAGATTTTGAAAGTAAGAATGCTTTTGAACGCGCGAATTCAGTTTTCGAAGCGGCCGAGTAGCGTTACCCCCACTCTGCCGCCCGCTACAGTTAGTTCGCGCCACGCTCGAATGCTCCGGTTTAACGCACAATTAAAAATTCAGAAGTGGATAAAATGAACCTCAGTATTTTTTATTGAAAATATAAGTCT